CAGAGGGTGGTGATAGATGGGGCCGAGTCTGGTTGGAGGCCTGTGGCCAGTGGTGTCCCGCAGGGGTCAGTACTGGGCCCGGTGCTGTTCAACTTGTTCATCAGTGACTTGGACGAGGGCACAGAGTCACCCTCAGCAAGTTTGCAGGTGACACCAAACTGGGAGGAGTGGCCGACACTCCCGAGGGCTGCGCTGCCATTCAGAGGGGCCTAGACAGGATGGAGAGTTGGGCAGAGAGGAACCTCATGAGGTTCAACAAGGACAAGTGCAGGGTCCTGCACCTGGGGAGGAAAAACACCAGACACCAGTACAGATTAGGGGCTGACATGCTGGAAAGCAGCTCTGCAGAGAGCGATTTAGGAGTCCTGGTAAGTTAACCATGAGGCAGTGATGTGCCCTCATGGCCAAGAAGGCCAATGGGATCCTGGCCTGCATGAGGAGGAGCGTTGCCAGCAGGTCGAGGGCGGGGATCCTGCCCCTCTGCTCAGCTCTGGTGAGGCCGCACCTGGAGTATTGGGTGCATTTCTGGGCTCCCCAGTACAAGAAGGACATTGAGCTTCTAGAGAGGGTCCAGCGTAGAGCAACAGAGATATTAAGGGACTGGAGTATTTGTTGTATGAGGAAAGACTAAGCGAGCCGGGCCTGTTTAGTCTGGAGAAAAGAAGTTTGATCAACATGTTCAAGTACCTGAGGGGTGATTGTAGGGAGGATGGGGTCAGGCTCTTCTCTGTGGTGGCCGCTGATAGGACAAAGGATAACGGGTGTAAATTGAAACACAGGAAGTTCCGCCTCCATATGAGGAAGAACTTCTTTCCTGTGAGGGTGACAGAGCCCTGGCACAGGCTGCCCAGAGAGGTTGTGGAGTCTCCTTCTCTGGAGATCTTCAAATCCCACCTGGATGCCACCCTGTGCCCCTGCTCTGGGTGTCCCTGCTGGAGCAGGGGGGTTGGACTAGATGATCTCTAGAGGTCCCTTCCAACCTCAACCAGTCTGGGATTCCTTTCCTGTTCTATGCTATTATAACACATAACTCCAAGTGGCAAAAAGGAATATCCATATTGTCAATAGGATGTATAGCACAGGGATAAAAATGTAGATATGAAACATGTTAACAGATTCTAAAGCAATTCTTGAACTCCAATTTTCTTATAGGAATTATTCTGGTACAGATAATATATGCACAATATATGCTTGTAGTGCACTGATGCTTATACCTTATGTTGATTATTAGTAATGTCATGCTGATGGATTCACAGGTGTCCAGGGAATGACTTGAAGGATGCGGGTTTGAAAGTTTTTTGTTTTGTTTTGTTTTTATGAGATGTATATGGTTTAGATTTTGGATCTGCTCAAACTGAGCCAGATTCTATTGGTAGAGAGTCAATGTGTGTTCCCAGAGGTGATTTCCAGGAATGTCTGTGTACATGTAGTACGTATGAAGATATTTTTCTTAAATCAACAATTAGTGTGATGTGACAGATTCATGGAGAGTAGCCATCCATGTTCATAAAAGTCTAAAGATTTCAACAGAGTTGTTTCTGTACTCGCAAGGGTCAGAACTGGAACTGTCAGAGGGCTTTGGTTCTTCCTCACAAAATTTATTAATACACCATATCAAAAATAAATCAACTTTGTCCGGATTGTTAGGCTATATGATCTCCAAAGGACTCTTCCAACCTCAACCATTCTGTGATTCTAGGATCATTTTTATTCTTAATCTGAGCAGTGCCACCCAGTTTTCAGACCTCCTATGTCTATAGCCTACAGAAGTAAAGAGGAAAGTCAGGACCTTCCAAAATTTCTAGCTTCTTTATCTTATTAGCAGTTTTTATTGCAAGTACTTTGAGCCAGGCAGATTCCATGTAGCTCTCTGCTTCTGCTTCAGATCTCTGTTGTTAATGCTACTGAAAAGAGAATTTGACAGATATTTTGCTCCCTATTCTTCTAAGAGTTTGCACCATAACATGTGGTTTCCTTGCAAAACTGAATTTGGAGATTCTTGGTTAAGTCTGAGCCAATATATAAATAGTAGTTTTATACGCAGTGACATACACTGTATAATAATGCATTTTAAGGATAAATAGAATCATTGCAATTAAATTTTTTGAGCTTCTAGGAAAGAAGGCAAAGTCATGGAGGAGTGTCAGTTGAAGAAGCATCTTTGTTGTTTAGCAAAGAAGTTTGCGGTAAGACATTAGGCTTGAGTGTTAAGTTTTGTAGAGAGAGGGGTAGTCGTCACATTTTCTAAGAGGGAACTATTACTTGAATTATGGCTTAGGTTTTGTTCAAGTATTTTAGGGTCAAAAGATCTATACTTAATTCTACAAATAGGGAATTTTCCCTTGCAGCTAATTCATATATTCCCACTGCCTATGACTCAATTTGGGGGTTTCAGCTTTTTTCCAAGGTTTCACAACTATTGTTTTTGGCAGCTAATAGCTGCCAGAGCCACCATCTTTCCTTAAATTCATCCAAATCAGGCATTAGCAGGAACCCCCCTAGAACAAATAAAGCTAGGTATTTAGGAATCAAAGATTCTACATCTTTAGCTAGTACAGGTGATCTCCTAAACTGCATCTTTGATGTTTGAGTTCTAATGTGTAAATGATATCTTGAAATATGCTGCTGAAATATGATCTTGCTCTGGTACACATACTAATACATTTGAACACAGTGAGGAAAATTTTTCTCATTTAAAAAAAAAAAAAGATGGGGAGAGATCTTTTAAACCTGCTTGCCAGCCTGCTTTAGTTGGTGCATGATATGTTCTTTCTGGGTACTCACACAACTGAGTCCAGTTGTCATTCATGTGCTGTCCCAAATTCTTTGCAATTTATTTAGGAAGTGCATCCTCAGGAAGAGTCCCAAAAACCAAATGCACTCTGTTATGTTTCACCAGGACCTGAAGAGATACTGTTAATTCTCTCTGCCATGGTAGTTGTTTTGGTTATTTTACTTGGTCTTGATGCTATATATGCACCTAATTTTGGTATCTTTTTCTCCAGATTACCCACCTATTGAATACCTGCATTGCTTTTTATTTTATTTTTTAAACAATACATGTGAAATCTGTTTCTGATTTTTTTTGAATCTCTATTTTTCATCTTTGCTTTCAATCTCTATTACTTTTCTCCAGTCTCACAGATAGGTGCAAGTCTTCCAGCCTGCAGTGCAACTTGCAAAATTCAGTTAATGTTGTGAGATATAATCTAAAAGAAACAAGAATACTAAGTAATAGTCTAGATAGAGCAATCATGTGCCTTTGTAGCTCTTTATGTAGTCGTCTCCAATGTGTTTCCAGTGTGTGAATTAATACATTTCTATTATTCAGAAATAATAATCAGATAATCAGAAAAGAATGCCACATTACAGGTGAGGTTCCACTGGTGTCTTACACAAGTCAGTACTTGTCCATCTCTTGGGCATGTCTCCCCTGATCTCTTTCAGGATCACATTTGCTTTTTGCAGGAATTATCGTGGTGTGTCTCAATTTTCCAGCTGACACCAGCTTGTTTTGCTTCTCTACCATTTTCAACTGAATATGCAGCTTATAACCAGATGCCTTGCTTAATATGACTTTCACTCTTCAATATTAAATCTATGCCAGTTTCTCTGACTCTAGTCTTCAAAACTGTATAGGCCTTCCTGACTGATATTCCTATCCTCCTCCACATTATAGATGTTACTGGCATCAGAGTATTTTGCCTGCAGTTATCAGATAGCTGTTTTGCCCTCTGACCTTAACATTAGCCACTGTGTTTGCTCTCTTCAGCCTTCAGGTATCACTCTGACTTGACAGATGCAGTAAAAATACGTGTGGTTCCACATGTTAGTTCTTTCACAGTTCTTGGGTTGAGGTTATTTATGCTCCTCTGCCCTCCCAGGCTTGAACCACTGAGCTCCTATAATTTTACTTCTTAACCTTCATTCCTGATAATTAATCAACCTGCCTTCGCCTTTGCCTTCATGTGCAGTATAGTCCTCACAGAGTAACAAAGGAAAAAAAAATCATGGAGCTTTTTTTTCCTTGTCATTTATG